GAAAACCTGCCAGAGGGTCAGTTATGGGCTGGTTCTAACCTGATGGCAACGAGTTGGGAGGGAATAAGGCAGTGGATTCCAGTCCTAACATGGTCATTAACTGTTAACTCTGTGACGTTGGAGGAGTTACTTATTTTTCACTTGCTATATCAATTCATTTCTCAATCACACAATAAGAACAATACCATTTTACAAAACTATTCTGATGATTCAATAGAATAATGTTCATAATTTATCCTCCTTTTCTCTCTCTTCTTGGACAGGTAATGGTTTTGCTTTGTTTCGTGTTGTGATGTGGGTGAAAGTTTCCAGAGCTGACTAGTCTTCCATTAAACAGTTTGTTGTGTTTTGTACCACTAACTGCACTTTTCCTGATGCTGCAGCACACTTGTCACATCCCCCCTCAGTGTCCCATTTCTACTCGTCCATCTTTGCTGGCCTTTCTGCCTTCTGAACTTTGTTTTTGGGCAAATGCTCTTCATCTGAGGTCTTGTGGTGGGTTTTTCTGAGGAGTACTTTCCTCATGGGTGCTATTTATTTAACAGGTTTGTTGTTTGACTGAAAGGGGACCCATGGGGTGGGTTCCACCCCAGGTCTGAAGAATGTCTAAGGGTCAGAGTCCAACATACGGAGTTCCACCAATCTCTACTGGAGCAATGAGTCTGGTAATGTATGACTTTGAATTTTGTTCTGTCTTTTCTCTCTCTCTGTCCAAGATCTTCTACTGTGATCCCAATTAGATCACTTGGTAAGGATAATGTTTTAAGGCTCTTTTATTTGGAGGCTCATCTGGTCTGTTGTTTTTCAAGGCTTCTTCTTGTTGTTGTTATGTGCTATTGAGTTGCCTACGACTCATAGCAACCACATCTACAATATCTTTGAGTTCTATCTTATCCTGAGCCAGTCTGTTTCCGACACACCTGCCCCTAATTCCCAGTCATTGTGTCAATTTCTCTTATCTGAGGTCTTCCTTTCCTGCATTGTTTCTCCTTTTAGGCATGATGTTCTTCTCCAAGGACTGGTCCCTCCTGGCAGCATATCTAAAGTATATGAGACAGCACTTCAAAATCCTTTCCTCCAGAAAGCAACTTGGTTTCCCCCTCTCCAGCACAGTACTTGTTTGTTCTCTTGGAAGTCCATGGTATGTTCAATATTCTTCTCCAGCACCACAGCTCAAAGACATTGATTTTTCTTCTGTCATCCTCAGTCATTCATTGTCCAGCTCTCTGATGCATAGCAAGTAATTGCAAAATCCATGGCCGATATCAGGTGTACCTTAGTCTCTAGACTGACATCTTTACATTTGACCACTCCGGAGAGGTCCCTGACAGCAAACTTTCCTAATCCAATTTGTCTTTTGATTTCCTGACTGCAGTTTCCTAGAGTGTTGATTGTGGACCCGAGCAGCTGAAATTATTAACTATCTCAATCTCCTCTCCATCTATTATGGAGCTGTCATTTGGCCCAGTGGTGAGAATCTTTGTTTTCTTGATGCTGAGCTTCAACCTATATTGAAGACTCCAGTCCTTGACCTTCTGCAGCAGATGCTTCAGATCCTCCTCAGTTTCAGCAAGCAAAGTGTGTCTTCTGCATAATGCCAATTGTTGATGAGTCTTCTTTCAATTCTGATGCCACATTTCTCCACATAAAAACCTGCCACTCAGATGATCTGTTCCACATAGTGATTGAAAAGATATGAAGATAAGAAGTGACCTGAAGCACTCCTTTCCTGATTTTGAACCATGCAGTGTTTCTTTGCTCTGTTCTGAGAACTGCCTCCTGGGTCCAAGTATAGGTTTCACATGAGCACAATCAGATGTTCTAATATTCCCACCCTTCTCAAGGTTAGCCACAACTTGCTTGATCCATACAGTCAAATGTCTTTGCATAGTTAATGAAACACAGATAGACATTCTTCTAGTACTCCCTGTTTCAGCCAAGATCCATCTGACATTTGCAATGATGTTCCTAGATCCATGGCCTCTTCTAAACCCAGCCCATATGTACTTCTGGTGTAGTTCTCTGTTCTCTATTGATTGCTCCAGTCATTTTTGGATACTCTTCTAAGATTTTGCTTGTGTGTGATATTAGTGCCATTGTTCAATAATTTACATGTTCTGTCAGATGACCCTTTTTTGGAATGAGAATAAATATGGATATCTTCTAGTTAGCTGGCCAAGTAGCTGCCCTCCAGGTTTCTTGGCACCACTTGGTGAGCACATCCTAGGCAGCATCTGTTTGCTAAAATATATCATGATTTAAAGGCTTACTCATTTTTATTTAGGGAGCTCTGACTTGGTGGTGAGAAACTGCACTATAGACCTGAAGGTATGCAGTTCAAATCCACCTCCTGCACCACTTACTCATTTATATTTATGCTGGGATGATTGAAGCAGGACTTTAGTCACATGTACTGATTAAGCTCCTATTATATTGCTCGTGAGACTGAAGAGCTAAAATTTTAGTTTTATTTCATTTCAAATAATTTTCATTTGACTGGCCACACATAACATTGGCTAACATGTTAGCATAAGTCTGGAGAGAACCAAGGAATCACAGAGCTGAAGAAAGATACTTTAGGGAAAATAGACCACAAATGACATGAAAAAACAAGACAGAGGTGTTTCTATGAGCAAGTCAGAAAATTTAAAGAATTCCAGAAAGAAAGCAAAAAGACATGAATTTATAGAGAAAAGTTTCCTGAATAGTCCAAAGAGCAAGCATCAGAACACTACTGTGAGATAAGAGCCACTGAGAGACCATCCCAAAGCCAGATCAGTAGAAACAGAAGTGGGAGGGGCTCTGGGCAATCATTAAAGAGATGAGTTTAAAAACCTGGATCCAGGCCTGTTGGGTCAGTAGCCTTCATTGCCTATCCCCATGTGTGGACAATCGGCATTCTTAGTATGGCTGCCATCTACGGTGCCCCCCCCCCCCCAAATCAGAAATGTTTTCCAAAGCTAGTGACGTCTGGGGCAGCTCTGTGGCCTAGTGGTTAGGGTCTGTACTGTTGACCGGAAGACAAGCAGTTTGAATCCACTGGCTGCTTCATGGGAGAAAGACAGGCAGTCTTTGCCTGTGTAAATTATTGCCTCTGAAAACTCACTGAAGGGTCAGCTGTGGGTTGGTTCCAACTCAACAGTACACAACAACAACAAGTCACTTCCAAAGGAGCCTCGGTGATGCTCAGCTGCTAACTGAAAGGTTAGTAAATTGAATTCTCCTGTTTTTTTGTGGGAGAAAGAAGTGACAGTCTGCTTCCCTAAAGGTTTAAAGCTTCAGAAACCATATAGGGCACTGCTATGCAGTCTTTATAGGGTCCCCGTGAGGTCGAAACCACTTGACAGAAACAGGTCTCGTTTGGGGTTAATGACTTCAAGAGGTAGGAAGATTTACACCTAGATGTGACGATCCCACTGTTAACATAAGCCACAGTCCTAGAAAATGAAGGTCCTTTCTAGGTCTGACAGTCTTGAGTTCTTTTTATCATGTTTTTGTCTTTTCTTTTTTTAATTAATTGTAATGAAAGTTTACAGAAACTTAGGGCTTCCATTCATTCATTGTTGCACTTTTCTCCCTGCCTACCCCTCCCCCCAATTCACTCTTCTCTTTGAAAAGTAAAAGAGAAATTCTTTCATTGTTATACAATCCCTCCCCCTCAAGTCCACTGCTCTGTGCAGCCTTCATTCTGGTCTCCTGGCATGACAATAAGACCTAATCCCATATCCCTTTTAAACAGTTCTCTCCCTCATCTGTTTCAATGTACCAGGATTACCTCACATGAAATTGTGCTGTTTTTATAAAATCACCAAATTCTTCTTCTCAATGAAATAGTCCATCACTCAACCACCTGCTTTGGGGGCTTACCAAGAATGGGCTAGCAAATGCGAACAAATGTGAAGGGCTGAGTTTCACACACCTTTTGGTGCCCACCACCTACCTGCACTTAATCTTAACATCCAGGTCAACACTAATGCAAAGTGCCCATGTCTGGGAGACGGATGACTTGAATTTCACTCTTAGGCAAACCAAATGCTTTTTGCTGTTAAAGATCCCTTAAGTCAACTTGGACTCCTAAGAACCCTCTGTGCAACTGAAGGAAAAACTGCATAGCCCTGCACCTTCTCGCAATCTCGGTGGTGGGCCAGTCCATTGTTAGGGTCACTACATCAACCCAGCTCACTGAGAGTCTTCTAAGTCGTGTGCCAACCTTCCACTTGCTCAAGCTGATGTCTTAGGTCCTTAAATATAATACAAATAATTGGGTTATCAAATCTCTGACCTCATTAGTTATGAAACTGTATTATATGATACCATGAGGTTTGATCAAAGCTAAAATATATACATGTCACCCCAAAAAGAGATAGGATCTCAGAAACAAAACAAAACAATACAGGCTATGAAGAATTGTCAAGACCCCTCTTAAAACCCCACACATTACTGTATGCCAACTTTTTCAGTGGGGAAGATGATTACCAAATTAACACACAGCTGTGAATTCGGAGGACGCTTTTCTTCCTAGCTCAGTGGGCCGTGAAGGACCAGCGCTCATGATTAGATCTTCCTGTCCTGATCCCCAGCCTAAGAAGTGTTTAAGGCACCCATCACTCTTATTTTTAGCTCTGAGACCTGTGTCTTGGAGTCCCAGAGGCCTCCCAGATATGGTTGATGATTCATTTACAGGTCCCTTGCATTGATTTCCTGGAAAGTCATAGAAGGGCGCTGATTTCAAAACTATTTAAAAGAATTTTAAACCAAGCTCTTCTTTGCCTGGTTCCCATTCCAACCACTTGATCAACAATTATTCATCCGCTTTACAAATTGACCCCTTGGTGCTATAGGCAATTAAAATAGAACCCAAGTGATATTGTTCTCTTAGGGCCTCACAGCTGGCGTGGGGGGCACAACACTGAGGGCTTTGGTCAGAGGCTATTTTCAGCCTCTGATAGCAGTTGTATTACTCATGTCTCATTCACCCTCTCCCCTCGGCCTCCCTCCCGCCCTACCCTCCACAGGCCAAGGCTGGTGACAGCCTCCATATATTTAAAGAGGATAAGAGCCCCCCTTACTTAGTTGGGCCGACGCAGACCACACAGGAGGGTAAGTGGAGTGGGCTGGTGACTGGGAAGGGCCTCATGGAGCCATGGTGTGTTTCAAGTCCAAAGTGCCAATACCCACTCTGGTTCTGAGTGAGGAGTCTCAAGTTCGATTTGGTTTTGGTGTGAACCTGGTGGTTAAAAAATTCCTGAAAAAGTGATTAAAATCTATGTGCTCAAGGGAACTTCACAGACAAGGAAATGGGCAAGGGATTATGTTTGGTCTAAAATTACTTTAGGGGTGGAATCAGTTGGAATGGCAGAAAAACAGAAACAATGGAAAGTCCACCAGATTAGAAGTCAAATGACCTGAATTCTGGTCTTAAAATTCCCATAGGTGTGATGGATATGACTTTGAGACAAAATTTCTGCCCATAATGTCTTGGGCTCTGTCTATGTATGGATCAATATAAGTGTGGTGATAGTTTTTTAGACTGTAAATTATAAAGAGATTGTAATAGATGTAATATAAAAAAACCAACTTCATTATGCTTAAATAGAAAGAGCAATTCAAAGCCTTATGGGTGAGTGGTGGGTATTTGTTAATACCCAGTAATACCTGTCTTGCATACGGAGAACACGGAATGGAGATATGTTGGCTTAAAATTCATGCTTTATTTCCAGGATGTTCAGAAAGAGATTTATTTTTAAGAATTTAAAAATTAATGAAACAGAACACACAAAAAAAGAAATTGCTACTTAGAAAGTTCATTAAAATCCCAAATAAATTGGAGGCTTCTCAATCCGGGAAGGGACTAGAGAAAAAAGGATTTTTCAGTGTGTCCTCTGAGTTTTAGTAGGGATATTTTTTTTTCTTCTGTCACAGTGTATGACAGGCACAGTGAGAAGTGATTTTAAGCAGTGATCTGAGTTACATTGCCACTCAAAGATCAAAGCTGCCGCTTCTCATTTCTGTTGTCATCCTAAACCTTCCAGGAGGAGGAGTCGCTTACCAGTCCCAGAACCTGTGTCTTTGTGGAACAATAGTGCACGCAGTCTAGGAGGCATGTGCTCACCGCCTCCTGTATCAGGGCTGGAGAAAGAGGAGGCAGCACTAACGCGGGTAGGGGTAGGCGTGAAAAGTAAGGGAAGCAGAGGGGATGCCATAGTGATGACCCTTCATTTACTTTTTAAGAAAATTCATATATTGGTTTGCATACAAACTTCATAAATATATAATTTATATATACTATATACAGTATTTCATTCATTTACATGGTGGTTCCTATGATTTTTCCCTTATATTGTGTTTTATAAAATTAATCACCTTTGGTCTCGGCCCACTCACCTCGTCTTTCCTACTTTTGTGTGAATTCTGAATGTCGAGTACATCCAAGTTAATACAACGGTGTAAAACTGTTTTATGATCCAGAAGACATGCTACCTGGCATGGCTTTGATTGCCTTCTGAAGAGCTAAGTCATCTGTAGTCAGTAGAAATGATCCCTGGCAGTAAAACAGGAAGCACAATCAGCCTCCGAGGGGCAGTGCCCCTCCCTGGGCCCTGCAGACAGGTGCTGTCAGCGCAGATACACAAGCCATCCATCAGAGATGAGGAGGAAGGGCAGGGCGGAGGAAGGGCAGGAGCAGCCCAAAATCCACAGCTAGACATTGATTCCAATTCTGTCTAGAATTCAAATCCAGAAGCCTTTGGGAACATGGAGAAAAAAAAAAAATAAATAAAGGAAAACAGAGTGTCTGTCATAAAATTAGTTCAGATTCCAGCTTTGAACATCACTTACCCCGTTTCAGAATCTCTGCTTTCCTGAACAGTAAAATCGAGGTAATGCCATTTACTCCAAAGGGATTCACCATAATTAAATGAGATAAAGTATAGGAAAGTTCTTTTTAAAGTTTAATACTCCAAACCCACTGCCACCAAGCTGACTCTGATGTACTATGACCCTGTAGGGCAGAGTAGACCTGCCCCACAGTTATTCCAAGACTGTAGATCTTTATGGAAGCAGACCACCATGGCTTTCTCCCATGGAAAGTTTAATAAAGTTGATCAAGTGTGTAAGACCTTTGAGAAAAGGTACTGGGTCAAACTATAAGAGCTGTGGAAGGATTTCCTGCTAAGTACAGGACCTGGACAAATCCAGAGACTCCAGACCACCAGGGAGAGACTCAGTCCTTGCAGGGGTGAAAAGTCCCCTCTGACTCGAGATACTAAGAAACCTTGGGAGGGAGGACAACTATGGACCCCCTTGAAAGTCTCTGTACCAGTATGATGATAAAAATCCAAAGTTAGAGTGGATTTTAACAAGGTGTTAAAAGGGGATAACTTTGTTTTATAAGAGGAAGGACACAGGAACAGGAATATAATACACTGGAAATTCAGCTCTTGAGGCAAGCAGATCTCCAATTACAGGCATGCTGCTTAAGTGTCTTCGAGTTCTGCTTCCAGGGTTGGCTCCCGGCCACAGAGAACTGTGATGCTTGCAAATGTGTAAAGCTGTAGGTACTCATCCCTCTGGGGGAAAAGTAAGAAAGGGAACAATGATTGTTTTGAATAGTATGCTTTTCCTGAGCCTCATCTACCTCCAGGTGGAAGAGAATTAATCATGATTTATGGGCTGGTTACTGCCTGTAAACCAGGTGCCTGCAGAAGTATTAACTCATTTATTGTTTTTAGATGTCATCAAGTCAATTGGCACAGTGGAGTTAAACAAAATTGCCCATTGCCAATTTCAGATGGGCATTGGTGTGGTCCACGGGGTCTTAGATGCTGCTTTTCGGAAGTAATCACCAGACCTTTCTTCCTAGTCTATTTTAGTCCAGAAATTCTGCTGATGCCTGTCAAGCATCACAGCAACATCTTCAGAGGAAGAAATTAAAGTTGAAGAGAGCAAAGTAACTTCTCCGGGTCCTACGGCTAATGCGTAGCAGAGCCAAGATGTGAACTGGCTTATAAATAAATCACAAAGGACAAAAGAGAACGGAGAGTGGGGTTTCTGAAGTAAGAGATTATTTCATGTGATTCATGGCTTGAATGAGTGTCTCCACCGTTACTCCAGATCTGAGTTTTAAAGGGGTCAGCGGCAATGCTCAGGTTTATTTCTGTGCTGGGACTGATCAACTTATGCTCAGCGGGCTTGTGATGGGCCTCTGGGTGGAGAAATCAGTGTATTTGTGTTTAGAGGGTGGAGGAAGAAGAGTAACGGTGACTGTCCTGCACACAGGCTGGCACCCGGAGGACTCGGGCTCCTTTGCATCCTTCTTAGGCAGCCTGCTTCTCCTCACGGTGCACATCCCAGGGGTGTGAGCTACAGTGAGGCAACAGAGGAAGCGACTGCCCCCAGGGCAGAAGTTCAAGACCTTGTCTGACAGCAGCCAGTGTCTCCAGGCTGACTGATCCCCTGGAGAGTCGTTGCTCTCTGAATGCACCTGTCCCCAGGGCTGCAAAGTCGGAGGAACAAATTAGTCTGAAATAGAGGAGATGGGGAGAGCTTTGCTTGGTTTGTTTGGTTGTTTTTTTTTAAATGAAAACAGGAGGTAAATTAATAATACACACTTTTTTTTTCTATTTTATTATTTTTGTGTGCGTGTACCATCAAATCAGATCTGACTGGTACAGGAGGAGATTGTTCCTCCTTCCCCGGCAAAGCATCTGGTGGATTCGAACCGTGCACCTCTGGGATTGTAGTTGCAGCTCCTTGCCACTAGGCCACCAGAGCTCCCCAATAATACACACTTTTAAGTCCTAGTAATAAAGAGTGGCCTAGTGGATAAGATAGTGTCCTGCCAACCAAAAGGCACAGTGTAAACCCCAAGAGCTCCCCTACAGAGAAAAGATGGGCAATCTCCATTGTGATTTACTGCCTCTGAAACCTCACTGGAGGGCCAGCTAGGAGTTGGTTCCAATCCTACAGTACATAACAAATAACGATAAAAAGCAATAATGAACTCAGCTCAAACAAACTCAACTCATTGCCGCCAAAATTAATGCACAACTGACTCTCCAGCAAGTTTCAGAGGCTCTATGTTGTCCAGGAGATTGCCCGTCTTTCTTCCTTGGGGTAGTTGGATTTGAGCTGCCTGCCCTTGGGTTTGTAGTGCAAACCAGAATTCCTGTAATGAAAGCAACTAAAACTATTGAATATCTGCTGCATAGTAAGTGAAGTCCCTGTGTGGTTCTCTCAGCTGTTAATGGAAATGTTGGAGGTTCAAGTCTACGCATAGGTGCCATGGAACAAAAAGTCTAGCAATCTACTCCTGAAAAATAAGCTGCTGATATTTCACAGAATACAGCTCTACTTTGCAATCATGAGGTCAGGAGGAATCCAAATCAATTTACTAGCAGTTAATGAGAGAGAACATAATTATTTAATGTAGTATCTAGCCATTATTATTGTCATATTTAACATGAAAGTATCCTTTTAAGACAATTTTTCTCAACCTGTCCTTACATGCACAAGGACACTGGACTGAAAGACCCTGAGTCCTTTGCTTCAAGTCTACCAGTTAGTGTGTTTGAGCCTGGTGTGGCTCTTTTCAAGGCTTGCGTTTTGCGGTTATTCACAGAGAATAGAGAACAGGTTGTGCTTGAGGGAGGACATGATAGGGTGGCATTTCTGTGAAGTGACTGTTCAGATCTCTCAATCCATCTCAGAGCTTGAAGGACCCTTGGAGGATCCTTGAGCTTGCTTCTGTAAACAGCAGAGGCACTGGCCATCTGTCCTCATCTGAGCTAAAAATCAATCCTGAGGACAAAATCTCCACATCCAAAGGCAGCCCTTTCTGTGTCTGAAGGGAGCTGACTCTTGGGAAGTTCCTTATTTTGTGTAATTAAATTCATTTTTCTGTTCTTTCCACCCATGGGTGTCTTCTCCATCCCATGTCACTTCACCAGCTCCTATCAACTTGAAACATTTGGTTGATGACAGTGAACATTCTAGATCCTTATTTCCTGGCCGATGTGGTGTAGGCAGGAAACTGGGATGTTGAATCAGTTTAACTTGGGTTTGAATTCTAGATCTGCCCCTTGCTAGCTCTGTGACCTCAA